GGAGGAGGGAGAAGGAGGGGGGGAATTAAAAATCTTACAATTAAGTCTTGTACCTACAATTTCCTATCCAGATAAACTCACTTAGCACAGAGGTTCGGGAAAAGCCTGCCTACCGCCCTCCTCCTCTGTGTGATCACCTGGGGTAGGGGGAAGCCAACAACCAAAACTTACCCTCAGGGCACCTACTGAAAGGTATTATTAGATCATCAGAATTAGATTTGACTCTTCCATCAGCCAGACTTCTTATCCGCTGCAAATCAAATCACGTTCCCTGCAATAAAGCTCCTGTCTGAGCTCCTTTATTTATTTAAAGAGAGGCAGGGCTTAGCCAGGGCCACTTTAACCCCCTATCAGGGACAGACATTGTTCCGCCACGTGACTTCCTCTCAGACCCGACCAGAGGGGAAGACTCCCCTGGTTGTGACAGCCAGCACACGCCCTTCCTGCCCCCACCTCTCCCTATCCCCCACCCCCCACTGCCACCGCAGCCCATCAGAGATGTTTCCTGGGAGGGGCTGATGAGCACAGTGAGCAGGAGAGCCCTGGATGCCCACACTGCCTCTTGGCTTCTGCTTCCCTTTGCTATCGCATCTGTAAGCATACTGGAAAAGCTCTCAGTAGCAGACTGCTTAACCTGTGGTCGCCAAGACAGTCACCACACAGCACACGCCCTCCTCAGCCCCTCCAAGGGGACTGAGGGTGGGTTATTGCCCACGGACCAGCGGTCGGTGAGAGGGCAGCTGCTGGGTCAGGCCAGCAAGAAACTCATGAATAAAGAGTTGAGTCCCGGCCCCGAGGAACTCTTGGTCAGGAGGATGCATTTATTACCTCATTAAGTAAGTACTGATCAAGCACCTTCCATGTCCCAGACACTGTTCCAGGCGCCTGGTGTAAAGCAGCAAAGAAAACAGAAATCCTTTGCCTCATGGCACTAACATTCTAGTGCTAAGTGAGGAAGCAGCTCTTCCCACTAAGCCCATGACAGGAGGCAAGGACAACTGAGTGATGCTCATTAAGAAGGAAGGAGAAAATGCTTGCTGGGGTGAGGGAGGCATGATGAGGAAATAAGACCTAAAAACCTTGTTACAATGCAAACAGGCTTTCAGAGGCTGAAATTTATAGATATTTTCAAAGAGGACGACCACGCTGTGCTTGACCTCACGTGCTGTGACTGCCCCCATGCCATCCCTAAGGAATGGTAACTGGGGCTGTGGGAGGCAGACTCCAGAGGTTCAAGGGTTGCAGAGCAGGAGGGGTTCAAAGGTCATCTTAAGATCCACCTAATAGGTTTATAATCAACTCACATAATCTCCCTCCCAGCCTAGCAAAACACACACAGCTGCATCAGACAGCGTCTCATCAACTTTTATCACTGCCCCCACCCCATCCATCCAATTGTCATTTACCCTGATTCGGGGTGCGCTGTGCCTGGCTCACCCCTCCCTCCAGGGCACTCTGAGCACCACCCCACACAGAGGAATGCCCACAGAATCCTTCTCTCTCTCGACAGCCCTTCAGGAACTTTGCTTGAGAATGGGAAGTCAAAGAAAGTCACCTCCAGGAGAAAGAAGCACTGGAAATTAAAGTGCAATTATCTAGTTGACTATCTCTGCTTAATTTTTTGTGTGGGGGAGAAAACAAAACAAAACAAAACAACTTCGCTTCCTTTGGGCCAACCGACAAGAAATTGTAGAATTCCTTTTGGCTGGAACCTAGAAAACTTTGTTTCCATTCAGTGCGGCTCCTCTTCTCCAAGAGCCTGCTTATCAGACAGCCGTGCAATTTCTATACAGGTGCCTCCATCAACAGAGATTTTCCTCCAGGCAGGGCAGCCTGTTTATTACACAGTCAGAGGTTTCAAAAATTCTCCTGATATTTCTTTATAATCCTCAACCCACAGGCCCTAGATCAATTTAGCTAAAAAAAAAGGGGGGGGGTACAAATTTAAATGTGGTTTCTTCCTAGCTATAAATCCAATCATTAAGCTGAACAATCTGAAGAAGAGGGAAAAAATAAATGGATACTCTAAGAATTGGAAAGCAAGAATTGTGATGGTCCCTGAGCATAAAATATGATGAGCAGATTTTGGAAAGACAATCTTTTGGGAAAGAGTGAGTGACATCCAGCGAGGATGCCCTCTGGCTTGGAGAGGATGACCAGCTTTAGGATTAGGTGGCTGGGAGAGAGGTGCTGCCCCCGGAGCCCAGCCAGAGACAGAGCTGGTCCTGCCCTGGTGAGCACGTCAGCTCTCATAGGGCTTAATGAGCTGGGACTGCAAGAAAGGGCTAAGCTTGCCGGTGACTCAGTCTTACCAAATTTATGTGTGATTAAGATAAGCCCCTATACTTTAGCTATCCTTCTATCATTTCTGTCTTGGAAATTCTCACATTCTCTCTCTTTTGTGGGTGTCAGAGCAAATATCCAAAATGCTTGGTTCTTCTGCCTGCTGCCATTTCATCTGGTCTCCACCACAGTATTGCAAGCACCCTGTGAAATCATCAGTAGTTACCTTTAATTCTGGTCCTCGAAACTCAGAAAGAAGTCATCTCTTCATGGGCTTCTCCTTTAGTTTTAGGAAACGACCAGTCTCCAGTGTAGGTGGAATCTGTGAAAACAATTATTTTTCAAAATGATAGGATGTAACTTCTAAAGCTGAGAAATACATACACGAGATGGAATAAATTCATTGGCACTTAAGGTAACCTCTGAAAATCCTGGACTACACCCTACTTTCTCAATATCCCGCTGGCTGGTGGGAGAGTAAAACTGACATGCACGGTGGAAGGTGAAACTGATGTGCAATTTCTGTAACAGTTTTTTCTACTTGTACTTTCAATCACGATTGAAGTTGCCTTAATTGAATCCACTTTAACCTGATTCAACTCAAAACATTTGCCATCAGTTACTGTAAACAACCAAGTTACCTCCTATTTCAGCAACCCCAAGTTCCCCTTCTTACTCAATAATCACCTCACTACTGTGGCAAGTTCTGTCAAACAAGTATCGCAAACTGTTCCCCCACACAAACACACGCAGACCAAGCAGACAGGATGCACATACCGGTGGGGAGGGAGAAGTGTCAGCTATGCTTCCTTTATCTTGCTAAGAGGTAGCCAACTGAATTTTAACAAATGCACAAACTGTGATCCCCCCAAGTATGCACTGACAATCTCTCAGGTCTTGAATTAAAGTAAACAGTGCTGCCATTTTTAATAATGTAGGATTTGCCAATTCTGTTGGCGGAGGCTTCACTGCTCTGAGCACGTCCGCTCCTCTGGTGACGTCTGATGGCTTTGTTCTCTGGAGTAGGCTCAGTGCAACTGCAGAAACCAAAGGTCACCAGCCCTCCAGGGTGACTGTGGAGAGGCAGCCACACCTCCAAAGATGCATCAGGACCCCTGGTTCTGGGTCTTTTCTTGTTTCCTCTATTTACGCCAGACTCTCGGGATCTCTATTTGCCCAGCCTGGCAGCAGCAAAGGGAACGTCCTTCCAGCTTTTCTGGCTCCTCCCCCTGCTTCTCTTAGCCAGACCTTTGCTTTAGTGTGTTTCTTCCTGTTTACAGCAGCAGCAAAAGGCATACAGAAAAGGCGACGGGTGTGAACACTCTTCACAAAACTGTCTGCCCTCAGGGATGTCCACAGTCACGTGACCTCCAAACTACCCTCCCCCAAATTCTTAAGTATAGAGATGCTCCATTGCCAGGATATATTCAAGTGTATCAAAACACATTTACTCAATGGATTATTATTACTGTTACTAGTAGCAGCCGTTAGAATAGATACAAGTGAAAAAGAAATGATTTCAAGATGTAAGCAAACACAGATGAGATAACACTACTGAAAAGAGCAGAATTTAAAATTGTTCCAAAATGCTGATTACTTTACCAAAAGTATGATTACATATGGATGTAGCTATGGAAATTATAAGATACATATAGATATAGATGTTATGTAGATATATGTAAATATACATTTATATACCTATATATATAGCACAACTAAAGATATATAGATACACAATATAGATATATATTTTATATCTGTTTTATATCTTTTATATTTTTTCCTGGTGGACTATGGGAATAGTACAAATAAACTTTATTATTAGTTTAGGAGTTGGTTGACGATTATTAAATTCTAGGCTTATATGGAAACAGTGTGATAAAGCTCTTGCCAGCCTTAAAACAGCCAACGCTTCAGAATCACGGAATGTTGTCACACTAGAAGGGACTTGAGCTTAACATTTTCATTTTATAGGTTAATAAATTATACCAAAAGAAGTTATGTGATTTATCCATTATCATTAACCATTAACCTCCTCACTGGCAGAACTGAGGCTAGCACAAATCTGTCCTCTCCTCCACAGAGCACACGGCGACGGACTCAAGCAAATAAATTAGGGGTCCTGGTTATCTGAGCAGTCGTTGCCCAGATCCTCACACGGTGAGGAAGGTTCTTAGGGAAGCTTGCCTTCACCCCTCCGTAATATTCCCTAATAGCCAACCATTTTATGACTTGAAATCCCACTCAGAATTCCATCTTTATTCGCCGTCAGCATCTTTCCTGACCCTGTTAGTTTTGAGTTTTGTTCCTCCAATGAAAGGACGTACGTTCACTGCACAGTGAAATTGCACATTTTGCCCCTGCAAATACGGAATTTCATGAGTTTAATCAAAACAGCATCAGAGCACTTCCCCAACAGCGGGTAAAACAAGGGCTGGTGCGGACTGAGCAGCTGGATGAGGGGACGATCACTAAAGAGAAACATTTTAAGTTTGTGGCAAGGTAGGGATTTCAATACAGGAGTTGGCGTTTCATATTAAAAGAACCTAAAAGGCCCAAAGGAAAATGAGAAAAACCTCAAGTAAAACTGATGACCTTGAAGATGTGGTGGACACGCCAAATGGGATTTAAAAGGTACCATGATATACAAATCACACAATTTTGTCCCAAAATTTACTCTTCTCAAAACAATCAATACTTAATTTTTGCATTGCTCATTCTAATAGCCATGGTGAAAATGATCACCTAAATATTGTTAAATATAAACTAAAAAATTTATTTTCATGAAATTCAGAGTTTGCAAGACAAAGTCTCAAAACTTTTTAAAATCATATTACGAATCTTGGTCCCCTTTTAAGTGGATTCAATTGACATGGCCTTTTTCTGGTTCTAATTATCCTCAGGTAACAAGGATCTGCTGTAGAACCTTCAGAAAGAATTTTTAAAAGTATAAATCAGTAATATGGAGGGTATTTATATTTTTTTCAAGCCAAACATACATTTTAGAAGCAGGGAACTTCAGATCCAGAGCATGAAAAGTAGGGGACACTGTATTTTTATTTCGTTCCTCTGCCATAAAAATAATTTTAATTTTTTATACAAAATAAAAAGGTTACAAAATTACAAATGACTATATTTGTCTCAATTCTTTTAAAAAATGTGAAAGTATATTAATATATTTCCCATTCTGAATTATATAATTAAGTTTTACATCCTATTTTATTTGAACCAAACCATGAAAAAACTTTCATAAGGGTCTTAATAGTTGTTGATTTGCATCCTGTGATCAGTTCTATCATCTGCAATTGTCTGTGGTTCTGTATAATTCATGGTCTGAACTTCACCTGAGAACAATCAAGTTGGCTGAGTTTTCCCATGTTCAAAATGTTTATTGTACAAAAATAGTGAATATTCAGGGCTGTTTCACATTCACTCAGATAATGAAAGGGATTCTAGTATCATGAGAACACAAGGCTTCATTTCAGAAGCATCAATTATTTAGTGGAACATTTTCTTCTGGAAGAATAAGAAAAGTAAGAGAATATTTTTCTCCATTAAATAAAATTGCAATGCCTGATAGTAAAAAGATATTTTTTCTTTTATTTTCCAAATCTGCAAAATAATAGGAGCCCAAATAATCTATGATGAATAACTGAAAGTATGTAAGATAATAAATAAATTTGAAAGATTCACTTACTGGAGCTTTCTAGCTTCTGTGACCAAAATGATAATTTATGATTCAGTTTACTAATCCTGTCTCAAAAGTCAAGGCCAAAATCATTGACTCAGTCTTGCCAGATTTGCTTATTTCTCAAATGAGCGTAAATGTCTAACTCAGGGTTAAGATGTGACTAACACTTCCTTCCAGGAAGGACAACAAAGCTCCCAGCTCCCACATCCACTGAGTCTGAAGAACAAAGGTGGGGAATCCCGCGTAGATGCCTGAACCATTTCACCACTCACTGTAGTCTTAAGAACCACAAGAAGAAGTTGCTTAAAACCGCCCTCCCAAATATCTGAGACTCACGCTCAGTGAATCAGATGAACCCTCAGCTCTGGTCCCCTTTCTGGAGCGGAATCAGTGGGTGACTGGAAATTCCAGAACCAGGGGAATCCCTGCTCTGCTCACCCAGGTAAGTGACTTACGTCAACCTGGGGGAAGAAGCTGGGCTGCCTTACAGCCCTAAAAAGGAAGCGTTGATACAGGGAAACTTGACCAAATCACGGGAAACAAGAAGTCGTGGATTGGGTTCAGGATTTTTTGGCCAATTGACTTTAGAAGCAGGTGCCTGTTAACATTAAAAGCGCCTGCTAAAAGCACCAGGAGACTTCCCATCAGCTCTAAGAGATGATGTCATTAAGATGCTGATAAGCGTGATTAACCCACCCGTCCTCGCGTTTGCTGAGCAGTCTTCTAGCCTGAGAAACAGAGGGACCAGGTGGCCTCAGGAATCCGATGGACTGCCTTCAAACACTTCCTAACTCCACAGTTTCCTCACCTTGACAAACCTCCACTAGTCTGTAAAATGGGTCTAGAAACAAAGTCGTAAGATTCTTACAGCTTTAAGCGCCAAGCACGGAGCACAGTACTTTGTACAGAAGATATTCAGGTGGTGAGTTCTTATTCTTTTTCCTGCTACACACAAAAGAGAGGTCCTTTCTACACTCTGAAACGTCGGGGAAGCTGCCTCAGAGGTTTTCTCTAATTAGGGCTTCTCCTTTCCACCCAAAACTGTGACTAGGAATTTTATTCATTACTGTGAAAATACAGAAAAGTAACACTTCTGTATGCAACATTCTAAAACCCTTTTTCCGCACAGTTATTCCAGAAGAGAAATGACCCTTACGATTTTGGTTTAATGATCTCTAACACTGACATAGTATTGGCACTGTGTTTTCCATATGCATTTAAAATTCATAATAACCCTACGAGGTGGGAACTGTCCCCATTTTACAAGTCAGAAAACTGTGACGCAACTTTTTCTGGTGCCAGAGCCAAACCAGGATTCAAACCAAGCTGGGCAGCCCCAGAGTCCACTGGGGACCTCTGCATTGTGTATTTATCTGAGGGCTTGGGGAAGGGAAGGAGGAAGGAAAAACCAAAACAGTCTAGAATATTCTTCCCCCTTTCAATATACACATACACAGCACAGATGATTTCCACTGTGAAGACATCACCGAATACCTTCCTACTGTCTCGCTCTTCAAATCAAAATGCAGGATTGCTCATTTGAAGGACAGTATTTTCCTAGAGATACTTGGGGAAGCAGAGGAAAGAGAGGGCTGGGGACCACGCAGGAATGGTGTCAGGCAGCATCGGAGAGCGAGGACCCTCACAGGGCTCTGGGGGTGGGAGGGGCTGTTCCAAACCCTTCTGCAATCTAGTGCTAAACGGCTGTGTTCAGCACCACTGCACACATACAAGACAGCTGTGAATTCCAGCCCGTTCTCCCCACCTAGAAACAGTCCCCAAGGCATTCTTCTTAAGTACGATGCCTTCAAATGCGAGAAAAGCCAGACTACCAGCAGCTCCTCCTGAAAGAAGTAAGAGTATCTATGTGCTTGACCTATGCAAGTTCATCACCAACATTAATAAAATCTTCATTCATCAGTAAATATTACCCCCATTTTAGAAGCAAGCTTAGGAGATGGAGTGTTCTGCCCCAAACCCCACAGATGGACTGATACCAATTCCAGCTTCTAGAAGCTGTGATGGGCGAGGGAGTCCAGTGAGGTTCTTGAAGGACACCATGTCCCCGCATTCCATAGAGAACCCCTGAGACTCAGGATGGGTGACCAGTGCACCCCAGTAAGAAGATGTTCGTCTGTGTAAACAAGGATGCAAATGACAAAAATTACTTTGTAAGGGTTTCCCAAAACATGATTTAATGCTGTCTTTACATAACGAAAGAGGAAAAGCAAAACTAAAGAATTCAGGACGTGTGGGGAAACCTCCAGGTGAGAGACTGACATGAAATAAACAACCTTAGGGACAGAAATGTCCAGAAACTGAGGGTTCTAGGGTAACTGCGAATTCAGAAGGAAAGATGGTTATAGTGAGAGCAGATGAAGGTACCACCGCAGAGCCAGGCTCCTCTCTCTCCTGCACACACCCCACCCCTCGCGGCACTTCCGAGGGCAGACACTAGGAAACTGATCAAATCAGGGTCCCAGGGCTTAGTGGGCTCTTTCTGCCAGAGGGCGAAGCCCTGGCTTCCACAAAAATGAAGGCAGATCAGGAATGAAGATAAAGCAAAAACCAGGGCCTCAGTGGCAAGTTAAATTATTTATAAAGTACCAACCACTTATTTAAAACACTCATTTGCGGGAGGGTACAGCGCAACGGTAGAGCATGTGCCTAGCACGCATGACATTCCGGGTTCAATCCCCAGTACCTCCATTAAAAAGTACATGTAAATAAATAAATAAAAATGAAATAAAATACTAATTCGTCAGAGGGTGAATAACCTTGATGTCTCCCATGAGAAAACCCTGCCACCTGAATCATCCCACTCCTCTCAAAAAGAGGCAAACTTTAAAGGGAAACACATCCCATACTTTCTATTTAAAAAGACATCTGGAGGGAGGGTATCGCTCAGTGGCAGAGTGCATGCCTATCATGTACGAGGTCCTGGGTTCAATCCCTAGTACCTGCATTAAAAAATAAATGAATAAATGAATAAAATAAGCAAACAAACCTAATTAACCCCCATCCAAAATTTAAAAAGACGTCTGGGCGCTAGGTGTAGACAGCAGAACTGCCTTCATGCAAACTAATTAATCATTGGCGGAAGTTTCCTTCAAGCTCCATTTCAGAGTCAAGGCGGACAGGAAAACTGGTAACAGATGACAAGGTGATCAAGTTTGGTGCCTGTCTAGCTGCACCTGTTTTAAAAGTAAACGGAGCTAGCCGGGCTGGAAGAGCATCGTCGTCAAATGACACTGTAAAACCACTGATTTTAATGCAGTTAAGACAGATCTGAACAACTGGTCGACAGGCTGGATTTAGGCCGGCCCTTCCTCCGTCTGATAGTGGAATGAAAGAGTGGATTTTAATAATTGAACAACTGCTATCCGGTCGCTATGGCCTTGATGAGAGCTCCGGACACACTGAGGCCAAACTGACAAAGAGGTTTTTTCCAGCAAGATTTGCTAAATTTTTTAGCAAGTGATACTGGTGGTGGAGGGGGCACATTGGAGGGGAAGCCAGATGGGGCCACATCTCCAGGCAGGAGAGCAGAAGGTAGTTCACGCCAGGCCTCGGTGCACCTGCCGTCAGGACCACCTACGGCCCTGTTCGTTCCTCTGGGCACATGGGTGGGTGAAAATGCAAGGCTGTGAAGCAAAGAAACCAAACCAGCTGGACAGTGGTTTGGCTTCTAAACTCTCCTTTTAGACAGATGTGTCAGAACTGGAGGGCAATTTTAAAAGTCTGCACACCTGGAGTCTGATTGACCCAGCAAAGATGAAGGCGAATTCCCAAACTTAGAGAATTGTGATTTTTCTTCAAAAAGGAAAAAGATGACACCAGCAAGAGTAAAAACACAGATAAAGGAAATTAATTCACGTCAAATCAAAAGGGGCTCCAAATATCTTTAGCAGATACTTTACCAAGACTGAGACTGTTCACAGCATAAGACAAAACTGCTGAAATAAGAAGGAAGCTTGAAGAGTTGGATGAAGATGATGCTAGAGGAGACGTGGAGACCAACTTCATTTGGGGATGTTGGAAGTTCACAGTAAAACAAAGTTCAGCAGTCATGTTTCTCGCTGAGAAGCTGGGGTTGAGGATTTTCCCCAAACACCCTCACCTACCACGTGGTCCCTGGGGCACCCTCCCACCAAGGAGATACACTTGTAAAATCCTTCTACCCACAGAAGCCTGGAAATGTCACAGAAGGGTCTGGGCACCACCCCCAGCCCACCGTGAATCCCCTCCCATAGCTTATAAAGCAGTGAAGATATTCATACTGTCTCCATTATTTGTTTAAGTCGGCATTTGGCTGTTTCCCTCTCCCACCCTCACCCCCAACTGTGAGCTCATCCTTCTTGGCTATTCAGATACTTTAAATAAAAGCAGGTTTGAGAAGCATTATACTTCAGCCCGCAACCTCAAGGCTCACCTTACTATTACCAGGAGGGTAGGGTGGCAACTTTGCTCTTCATCCCCCGACTCTGCACCAGCAGGCCCTCCCAGCACACACGTGGGTTTGTCTGGCCTGGACCTTCTCTTCACCTGGGAATTCCTCCTCTCTCCTCATCACACCCCACCCACCCCTCACCACAAGGATGGACCTTGTACAGTAGCCCACTCCTCTGTGCCCAGCCATGGGTGCGGGACCCAGGCCAATGAGATTCCTTTCATAAGAGTGGCACTGGAAGAAAGAGGGTCTCTCTTTTTTGGGGGGTCGAAGCTGTAAGAGCCCATCTTTCAGGCCCATCTCCTGCAAGGAAAAATGAGGCCAATAGTGTACACAGGGCACTTGAGCCCTGTCTGAAGCCAGCTTCATGCTTGGATTTCCCTAGTTTATAAGTCAACAAATTGCATTTTTTTCTTAAGCTAGTTTGAGTTGGGGGAGTGGGGAGATGTGTAAACCCCAACTTTCCTCAAGAAGTATAAGACTGTTCTTTTTTAATACGAAAAAGATAATTTTTATATCTAATAATATACCCAGTTGCATATATCCAGAGTAAACTCCCATTCAAAAAGATTTATGCAGCCCAATGTTCACAGCAGCACTGTTTACAATAGCCAAGACATGAACACAACCTAAATGTCCGTCGACAGATAAATGGATAAAGAAGTTGTGGTATATGTCTACAATGGAATATTACTCAGCCATAAAAAAGAACGAAATAATGCCATTTGCACCAACCTAGAGGTGATCATACTAAGAGAACTAGGTCAGACAAAAACAAATATCATATGAGGTCACTTATATGTGAAATCTAAAACATGAAACAAATTAACTTATTTGTAAAACAGAAACAGACTCACAGCATAGAAACCAAACTTACGGCTACCAAAGGGGAAAGAGGGGGAGGGATAAATTAGGAGTTTTGGATTAGCAGATACACACTACTATATATAAAATAAGCAACAAGGTTCTTACTTGCTACAGTTCAATAAAAAAAAAATAATTTAGTATTTAAAAAAAATACATCCACTTACCATTTTCTATACAAAATGATTCTCCATTTGACAGAAAATTGTTGTTCACAAATATATTCATAAAATAGTCACTTATGTTTTGCAGAAAACTGTCCTAACTTGATGCTTGAAATCTTACAATTAAACGGCTTAATTAGAAGGCTCCAGGCTATCTTTTCATATATTGTGACATTCTAATAAATTTGTAGGATCATATAAAATATTTTTAAAAGGATTCTGTTGCAGGATGTGGTGGCATCTTTTAAAATAATAAGCCACGGTGTTTCCCAGGGAACTGCCCCAGGCTAGAGCCTCATAAAGACATCTGTAAAGGCTAGAGAAGGTGCTAGTTTTGGAACAAATGTTCCATCAAAATAGGAAAAGCTCCCAAAAGACAGAAAAAAAGCCCAAAACTTCACACCCAACAGTACAATCAGGTATCTTCCATCTTCTGTCTTCCTGCAGCATTTATATGTCCTGGGGGGCCCAAGCCAAACCCATCCCTCGGAGACCAGGTGCAGAGAGGCTGAGCTCCATGCTTGACTCTGCAGGAGGTGAACTGGACGGTCTGCTCTTCGAAGCAGCTGCCCGCTGTAGGCTTGAGCTTCTGCACTTACTCCATCACTCCCTCTCTGGACCTGGGGGGTAGCTGCAGCCAAAATCAGGGCGTCAGCTCAACCACAAATGGATGAGATTTATCATATGTGGTCGGAAGAATCAATGAAGTTACTCCACTTCATAAATAAGGCAGCCCTAACGGGCATCAGTCCAAAATACATTATGGTGACAGTGAAAAGAAATCCCTAAACCAGCAAAGCTCACAGACCTTTGACCTTTCATGACTTTCAAATGTACCGACTGGGGACAATCTGATCACCACACAAGTCCCCTGCCTCTGGACGGCTCCTATTTCTGGTGCAAACCTCCAATTCACAGCCCCCCACTGATACCCTGTTTTTTGCACATCTGCCCTCATGTAGACCCCAAACTCGAGGGAAGCAGGAATGAAGTCTTTCTGATCTTACTTCCTGGCACAGATTCTAAAGATTTGATAGGCAGCCTAGCAAATAAATATTCATTAAATGGATACATGCTATTTCCTTTTGCTTTGCTGTTAGAAAAAAAAGCAATATATGTATAACTGAACCACTATGCTGTACACCAGAAACTAACACAACATTGTAAACTGACTATATTTCAATAAAAAAAGGCAAGAACAAAAACCAAAAGCCCCTAAAAGTAGGCTCAGAGGTGATAAGAAATAATCTAGGGGTTTATTTTTAATATAGGAAATAGCTTAGTTTTTGTTAAAAAAAAGAAAGAAAGAAAAAATTCTCACTTTAAAACAGATCCACAACTCCTCCCCCATTTGCATGGTTTTTCATCAGTATTTTAACATTTCTCTGGGTTCAGTTATTTCAGGTCCCCTCCTAACAGTGGATTTGAAAGTAACTCAGGTCAATTTAGGGTCAAATACCAGCTACTGAGCATGTCCCCTGCACAGGCTGGCTCTGCCCGTAGGGAGCTGTCAGCCCTCAGCCATCTCCACCACCTGCTGTCAGAAAAGCCCCTCTTGAAAATCACATCTTCCCCCCCAAATGCATTCCTGTTCTCCACTCATGTGCTCTTCATTCATGACAAGCGAAGCAGGGAAAGGGGAGGAGGACAGAACACAGGCCCCTCTGTCAGCCAGTCCCCCAAGCGCACGCACTCCAGCAGCCACCGGGGTCCTGGGCTCAGAACAAAGACCCCAGAGTGGGGTCAGCAGGGTGGCCACATGGCCCCAGACAGGCACCCTCTGCTAAGGGAAAGGTCCAGACATTGGTGGCCTCAGAGGGGTGGAGGGAGGTGAACAATCCCTAGATGGGTCTGAAAATAATAGTGCTTTTAAATACGGGGGGCTTCCCACCCCAGCAGGACTGCCTCAGCCACACCGAAAACTGACCCAGTCAGTGGACAGGACAAAGACTCCGGGGGAGGTAACTGTCACATGTGCTCTGGATCCGTGTGTTTACGGCTTTAGACTGAATGCTTGTGTTCCCCACAAATTCATATGTTGAAACCTAAACCCCTGTATGAAGCACTAGGAGGTGGGAACTTGGGGACGTGAGGTGGTCACGAGGGTGCAGCCCCAGTGAATGGGATCAGTGGTCTTATAAAAGACGCCAGAGAGCCCCCGGCCCCTTGCACTGCATGCAGACTCGGCAGGCAGCCAGCCAGCTGTCTATGAGCTGGGAAGGGGGTCCTCACCAGACACCTTGATCGTGGACGTCCAGCCTCCAAAACCACAAGAAATACAGTCTGCTATGTGCGCACCCAGTCTACGGTGTTCCGTGAGAGCCGCCTGAACAGACTGAGACATTCATTAACCTGGAAGTTCACTGCCATCTCCCGCTTCTGTGGCCTAGGCTCCCTGGCCTTTCACCCTCCCAATTGCAACCACTCCTTTTCTCAAACAAATCTGTCACTTCCCGTGAAGTTTTCCGGCACACAGAGCTCACACCACCCGCTAAACCCACAGCATCTCACGAGTCTGTGTGCATTCACTTAGTAACCGAGCACGCACTAAATTGCAACATAAAATAGGCTGCTTCACCATACTTTGGCAATGTCTATCTACACTGTATCTGCCTCACCAGCAGGGATTTTCTCATACTCTTTTTAACTTTTTATTGAAGTGCAGTTGATTTATAATGTTGTGTTAGTTTCAGGTGTTCAGCAAAGTGATTCAGTTATATGTATACATATATATTTTATATTTTCAGATTATTTTCCATTATATGTTATTATAAGAAATTGAACATATTTCCTGTGCTCTACAGTAGGTCCTTGTTGTTTATCTATTTTATATATAGTAGTAAACATAGTACTTT